GCGTAGGCACATTGCGAGGGCTTCACGTAGTCGTGTTGCCTTCCTAAGACAATCGGGCAGCTTCTTGTTTCCTTCGTATTGTCTTCGTGAGGCGAAAAATGCCCGATGGCACCGATGATCAGACGAAGATGCCCTCACGAGTGCCTTAGGAAGGGCAAAATGGACACACAAATTCACCACGAAAATTAACCTTCGCAAGGTCCTTTGTAAAAATGTTGGCAAGCCAAAGATTTTGCCACTGCTCACAAAGTTGCTGCCGGAGCCTGAGAAACTCCACCGGCGGTCATACGATAGCTTAAGATGCCCTCACGAATGGCCCGATGTTGTTACGATCCCTTTATCGTGTGTCCATCTGGTGACAATTTCGGGACAGTGTGACAGGGGCTTAAATGTCACCTATTATGCAAAATCCACTTGTTCCTGTCTTTTATATATCAACATGTGTCCCCTCTGTGTAAAGAGATTCTGAAAAAGATTCGCTCTCTTTTTCTCCTAATCCATTTATGTAACAACCTGTCTGAAAATGAGCCGATCAGATTTGGGCCACTTTATGATGTCATAACGATTTTTTGGCTTGTATAACCACTAGCCAATCACCAACTAAGGTACCCCCCTTATCTCTCCTCTTAGAGCACCATTCTGTTCTTTTTAACCAGATATCTCTCAGAGGGGCGTGGGGAGTGGATCCTTATTTTCATTTTTAAAAGACAGAGAATCAGCCCTTTTGAAACAGAGGGGATTATGGGATGCTACAATGCATGATCTGTGTATTTCGAGCCAAACACGTCAGAGACATGTTTTGTATACATCTGAAACCTATAATATATTGATGAAAAACAGTATAATGGGAGACCTTTAAAAAGAATAACGGTTTGACATTTTTTTTTAAATGCCTCCCTTCACTTTGATCTGGAAATAGTTATGGTAAAGGTCAGTGTTCAGTGTTTATTTTACACAATCATTACATAGTTGAATGCCTCCTCAAGCAACTAAAGTGTTCTGGAAAGACTGCTGACACAACAGCCAATGAAGCTTGATTACTCCAAAAGACGAAAGAATCAAGGTCGATTGAAAAGAAAAGTCTAACTTCAAGGGAACATAAGCTGGCACTTCAGCAAGAAGCAGCTAACTTGCAGCTTAGCATGGATGCTTCACCTAAACTGACTTTATACTAGCAACAACCTGTGAAGGTTCCTGTTCCACTTTAACAGTATCAGCAATGATGGACTCAAGTTACATGCACACTTCAGCGCAAAGGTCCACAAAGAGAATTGATTGTTTGGAAGCCCTTGATGTTAAAGAGCTTTTCATGGACCCTGAAGTCTGCTCCACCACTAGGGTTATTCCTGAGATCTTTTGGGAACACGTACAATTGGTCTTGAAAATTACATGCTTCTTTCCTTCTACAAAGCTTCCAGTTGAACATCCCTGACATTTCACCAGCTTAGCTGATCCAAGCCATCATCACATATTCAAACTGTGAGACGATGATGGCACATTTGACATCCCAGCCAAGTCTGATTATAACACTTACGGAAAGAGTTGGAAAGAGTACAAAGGCTAGGAAGAGGTCCTGATTGAAGATGTCGGTCAGTCTGCGCAGAGCCAGGACATTTCTAGAGACAGCAAAGGGAATGATCTATGAGCGGCTAAAAATATGACTGCTTGGCTTTGTGCTTGGATATGATAATATATTACGCTCAGTATGTGTTCTTCTACGGGGCGTATATGGGTGACATAAAGGAAAACAGACTCTGGGTTTGTTAAGGAAGAATTTAAGGAGAGTTTTCTCTAATAGGTGGATCACTGAAGGTCACTGTCTTCAGTTCCCTTGTGAGTCTATAAAACTGAAGTAAATCAGTGAGAGAATGTTCTTACATGCCCTTCCTTTCATCCAGGAACGTTATTTATGTTTAAAGGGGAAGGGTTACTGACTGCAGCTGTAATCACAGTGTAATGAAAGCAGAGGCACAGAAAGAGATACTAAAGCAGGTTATTGTGATACATGATTCTAGTAAACATAAATTATGATATATGCTCTGTCTGTATAGAAATATTATGGGATATTTGTTTTGTTACACATACAGCACACCTAAACTGAACCTAGATTAA